ATATATAATATATAATATATATATATATATATATATATATATATATATATATATATATATATATATATATATATATATATATATATATATATATATATATATATAGATATAGATAGGAATAAAAATATATAGTAGTAAATGAGATATCATGTTTATAACAATTCTTGACCGCATTCGTACTCTATCCTTGCTACTACACTTACCAGACGGTGAGATACTTATCACATCCCACTGCGAAAGGACGGCTTTGCGGCACATGGCTCTCCCGAGGAATCCGGTACCCCCAACCTGAGCAGTGCAAATAGTTCCATAGGAAGTATGAACATCAGAACAAATATTTAATGCATAGTGAAGTTTTTATATTTCCAATATGATTTTATGAAAACGTATTGTTATCATGGCAAGGCTAAGCTGTGGTTCAAATGGAACAGTTTAAATTCAATGTACTTACTATAAGGACACGCCGAGACATCAGGTAAAGTTAATTAGCCCACCTAGACGCAATTTCTATGCAGCGGAACGGCACTGAAAATTTTGGTTATGCTATGATCGAACAATATAGTATCTACAGAGAAGAGCGCTGTGATCTAAATATTTCATATGCATGTGTAGTTAATCACTCATATTTACTACAGTGATAATATATAATACACCACATACATCATATCCATATATATTTATTAATACATATAGGAAGGACCGATAAGAAATGCATTTATGCATATTACCAGACACCTAATAAAAAGCAATAAAAATAAAAAGAGTATTCATGACGTACTTCATGACGTCATTTAAAATCTATTTGTTCTTTGAGTAAAATTGGGTGTGTGCCCATACGGCATGCATAAACCATAGGGTCCAGAGCCCCCGCCCAGCGCCCATTGCCGCGGCCTAAATTTATTTAACGCGTAATGTATGCATTATTTATTCAGAGGCTATATGAACATAAACTCACATAAATGTGTATACTTATGTTGTTTAGACTGCATATATATACATGCATATAGTGGATAGCATGCAGCGCACACATACAGGAAAACATAAGTTGAAGAGATGATGCGGCGAGCGTTTAGCCTTGCTTTGGAGAGGCAATCGGGAGTGAACATTGGTGGGGGGCTGTTTGCGAGAAGTCCGGTAAACATACAGATAAATTTAAACAATAGGTTACATCGACATGTAGCTATTAAATTCGAGCGAAGGTGTTCATCGCAACAGGCAAGTCATATGGCAAATGCGAGTCATAATACGAAAGAGAAGAGTCAAACAACACAGCATAGCCATACAACACAGAAAAGTCATACTTCGGAACAGAAAAATTATATATCGAAGCAGGAAAGTGCTGCTATGAAAAAAAGAGACCCTTCAGTGTGGCTCAATCGTATCTTAGAACAGCAAAACGTACAGAAGGTACGCAAAGTGGATAAAACATTCAGCCAGCTTGAAAATCATCCAGCCTATAGCAAGAGGCTCCTCCGACACTTGCAAGTATTGAATTATCCGCAAGCCGACACCTACTACACGCACGTAATAAAAGCGCATGCAATCGCGGGATTAACTCGTGATGCGTTGGCTCTGGTTGATGAGATGCAGGAGAGAGGCACACAGCCTACTTCAAGAACATATTGGGCTATAACGGTCGGTCTGGCACATAGTAGTGAGGATATACTTACTATAGCGCAAGACCTGGAAACACGTATGATAGACATAGGTTACCAGCCTACAGCGCGTTTCTACCAAACACTTGTGAACACCTTCATAAAGAAGCGCATGTCGCGGGATGCTATCACTCTTCTACATCGTATGCAATGGTCAGGTCTTAACGATGCCGAAGTTAAAGATATGATGTATAGAGCCTATCACGGAATTCTCATAGATACCTTCGGCTCACTTGCCATGTCAAAGTTGGACAGTGAAGACCTGATGGGTGCAAATGTGGCTACACGATATATCACAGTGTTGGATGAGATGGTCGAGACAGGGCTTGCTCCTACTGTGGCCACTTATACTGTGATATTCAACGAGTTGTTCTACTTACGGGGAGATAGAGTGCAGGCTACGAAGCTGGTAGAAGACCATATGTATGGCGCACAGACAATAACACCCGACAAAAAGTGCTACGACAATTTGATTCGCCTGTACGACCGATCACTCGAATGGCAGAGGTGTTTGCGGGTGCTACGAAGCGCACAGCAGGACGGACACCATATGGAAAGGTGGCATTATAACGCAGTTATATCCACGCTGAGAAAGACGGGAGATATAGAATGTGTCACGAAGCTTCTCCATGAGATGAAGGTGTATGGCTTGACGCCCTCTACACTCACCTACACACTCGCTGTCGGAGTACATCATGTACATAAGGAATGGGAAGCTGCCTTAGAGCTTTGTAACAAAGTAACCGACCCCGACGCGCTACTCTACAACCGAACTATGGGTGTGTGCTGTGCAGCCGGACAGCTTGACGCAACGCTGCAATTGTATGCTGAGATGCAGAAAAAGGGTTTGAAACCTGATCATCGCACGTACCGTAATCTGTTGTGGCTGTATGGGGGCAAAGGCATGTATGTAGAAGCCCGGGAGATATTCGAGGTCTACAAGAAGTATGATGCACGTGCTGGCAAGGATGTATGTGATACCTCGCGGTATCACCATCTAGATCGCCGAGATTTCCGGAGTTTGATGCTCGCGTACTCAAATGGCGGTGCGTATGACCAGGCCATTGGCGTCTTCCGGGAGATACGAACAGCGGGTCTCGCTCCCGGCACCAGTGAGTATTCTGACGTTATCCGTGTGTGCAGTAAGGCGGGGAAGTGGCAATTGGGAATGGAGTTTATGAGAGAGCTGTCTCGATTAGGCGTGCGATACGTGGGTGAGGAAGGCACGACGCTGGAGGAAGTCCGTATCCAGCGGGAAACGCTGAAGCAAGAGAGGACCATACATTTGGGGAATGTCACGTACATGCGTATGTTTGAGGAGAACGGGCTAGAACGAGCTTCTGATCAGATGTACGGACATCTCACTGGGCGCGGGAAGGCGTACTGGGAAATGTGGTCTGCGATGCACAACACCGGTGTGCTGGACGTACACGAGCATACGCTACACATGGTACCCGTGCTGGTGAAGAGATGGCTCAGCGTGCTCAAAGATCAGTACGCAACCGGCTCGAGCGATCCGTACGCACAGGCACAGCACAGTGGAGAGACTGGGAGAAATACGGGTCTACTGAGAATGCCTCCATTCTTCGCTTTCGCCGCGGGGCTGGGCATAGGTTCTGCAGTGGAGGGTGCAGTTTTGGGCCCTCACTTGGAGGCAGAGCTTCTAAAGCAAGACCCACCTATCCATTGCGTGGCGCATCGGCTGGGAGAGGTTGTTCCTGAGTCAACGGATGTGCAACGATGGCTGGATTGTAATCAGTAGGTGCATCTCAGCTATATACATTCGCGAATAGACATTCCACAAACGCTCTTGGCATCTGATGTCTTGACCTGGCATGTTTTCCAATAGACTATCCTCGGACGAAGAGTTCAATGTATGTCCGACAATCCAAAACAGCAAGCGCTGTATCAATTGCGCAGTTTCATTCTGAGTGCGGATTCTGATTGAAAATTTAGGGATATCGCGGATTACAAGAGAAACCTACATGGCTTTTGACATGGATGAGCTATAGTCATATAGATTTACTGCAATTACTTGTCTTGTAGTCACTGTCCGGCTGTGCCACAACTTCGCTTCAGAAGTTTCGAATTGGTGTACGAAGAACAATACCAAATGAAGCAGCCGTCTGTACTTGTATTCGATCGCATGGGTATAACACCGCAAGCTTTCACCAATGATATCGAACATCCCACGCGTCATCGAAAGAAATAAGATACCAGATACCAAACTTGAACTGCCAATATATATATAACATCAGATGGATAGTATATTGTGAGATGCACTCTGTATATATATATATA